TTACATCAGGTGAGCGAATCCGTGGCCAGTCTGTGCCCTGGGAACGGGACACGGTCCTTTCCCTTATGGCCTCCAGAGCTCCTGCAGAGGCTCCACATCACCACCCACACCGCGCACCGCAGGCAACTGCTGGCCGTTGAACCAGCAGTGAGATGGTTTCAGAGCAAACCAAAGCAGGGCAGGGCAGAAGAGGACGATCTTCGCTGAAGACACCAGCTGGGCAGGGAGCCTGGGACACATCTCCTCTCCCGCCGCCCCCCTGCTCCCAGGCTCCGTGCCCAGCTCCCAGCAGTGCCAGGCGATCTGCCACAAGTCCCCAAGCACCCTGCGGCACCGGCCACCCTGCCCATACGTCTGGCCGCCAGCCAGGGTGCCACAGGGATGCTGCCTGCTGAGTTACGTACGCTGAAGAGATCCACATTCTTCCACCTTCCCTTTCAGGGACGGCTTCGTGACTGCAGCTGCCAGCCTGAACTGTGACCCCATGGTATCTCTGATTGCAGAAGTTTTATACTTAGGGAAACAAATCTCTAAAGAAGAAGCAGAGTAAGTGACACCCTGACCGAGTTGGTGGGTGGCTCTGCGCTGCATTCCCCGAGCCCACCGAGAGACACGAAGTCGAGATGAGTTGCTGCAAATCCCCGACGTACCTCTCCTTTGCAGGGCCTGTGACATCTGCAATATACCCCCGCTGGCAGAAACCTAAGCTCGGTACATGCCCTGCTGTGAGGGGCACGGAGTCAACCAAGTGTTAACAGCTCCGCATCCTCCTGTCCTGGCTCAAGAGAAATAAAATCACGAGCAAAACTGAACCCAGCACCTGCATTTTGTGTTTGCAGACAGCCCTTGGCTGCTCGCTTGCATGCCAGGGCAAAGCAAAGCAGCACGTTCCGGGACGGATCTGCCGGGCTGGGTAAGAGGAGGATGCCCGTGTCCTGGAGCTCAGCTGAGGGTCTAAGCAGGCAGAAGCAGCCACAAATTCACAGGTCCACCAACTCCTCCTGCTCTTCTCGCTGGCTGTTGGCAGGAAGCTTTCATTCAGCACACCGGTCGCGCTGACCTTCTGCTTTGCAAAAGCACATTTTCCCAGTAAGGGGAGCTGTGACCGAGGCAAGCTGCTCTCCCAGCTGGGAACTAGATAGTCTGTGTGCAGGAACTTGCACGAAATACCCCACCCCTAAGGACAGAGGGCTGCCATCCGACCTCTGAGCGAATGGCACCTGCTGGCATCGCTACAGCCGCCTTGAATATTGCATTAGCTGCTGCAGCGAGCGCTTCCCACCCCCTGACAGCAGCCAGCCTCCGGCAGAGAAATCCCGGCCCCGGTTGGCGTCCCCTCTCCTGCCACGTTCCCTGCGTGCTGGATGCTTTGAGGAGGCGGCCAGATGCTGCAGGAAACACAGCCTCGATGCTAGAGGAAAGAGTTACTAGATTTTTGCAAGGCAACAGCGAGCAAGGCTGTGCTTTCTACAGGAAACACTGCACTTACTCATCGGTCACATGGGGCTTTGCAGGAGGAAGGGTAAACCCCGAGAGCCGGGCAAGTTCCCGCAGGGACACTTACTTTGTCAGCCTAAAACCCCTCTGCTTTTACATTAAATTTGAGCTGGCCAGAGCCCAAGTCTGTTTGCTCAGCAGGTGAGATACTGCAATGCTGGTTTTGTGTTAAATGCACAAACCTGCACGCTGGCACCTTCTCACGTATGAATTTGACCTGAAATAGGGCGGTTTACGTTTCCTGACCCCAGGGGCTCGGTGCTGCCGCTCAGGGCGACTCTATGCCATGAAATAGCCGCATCTTACCGGAGAAAGAGCTGGGTTTCAGCAGAGCAGGTCAGTCCTTCGCGACGACAGGAGGAAGCAGCAAATCTAAGCGTTACCCGTACGCTGAGGCACACCAAGGGCGGAGACGCTGGTGGCTGGAACACGCAGCTCCCCTCCATATCAAGCATCGACAGCACCGCGCTGCATGAGAGGGGGACCACCCCGGCCCAGGAGCTGCTCCTCCTTGCCCTCAGGCATCCTGCACACACACCCACGACTTTTTACCCCCTCAGTGCACTCCAGGACTTGTTGAACACCGAGCAGGTGCCAGCTCTTTTGTACGGACTTGCAGCAGGGCAGCTGCGGTCTAAGAGGCCAGCTCTGCCTCAAGCTGGAGGTGTTCACCTGCGGTCCGAGAGCCGTCCGAGGGGTCAGTGAGCCGTCCGAGGGTGTTCAGCAGTCCCGCTCTCTCCGGGTGACAATGACCCCAAAGAAACTCAGCTTCTTGTAGCCATCAGTAAGCACGCACCAAGCAGAGTAGCTTTACAGAAGAAGGGAGGACCCTAGGACAACAGATACGCTCTGATTCTACCACTTAAGGGACACCAGGCCACTTTCTATACATTGCCAGGTGCCAAAATTTGGTAGCAGCCCTGCCTGGAGCAGCCAGAGCCTGGACAGGCAGATTTAGTTGAGACTGCGCAGACTTATTTCAGCACAGGGCCATTCCTCCCTGCTGTGCTCTTCCTGGCAGGCCCCAAGCAGCAGCGCCCGGACCCTCCTCTGCTTCCCGGCCACCAAGGCAGCCTGGGGGACAGCGGTCCCGGCAGTCCCATGGGAGAGGCATCTCCGGGGGTGCAGAGGCTCCCACGAGCCCTTGCTGGGTCCACACAGAGACATTTCACCTTGCAATGAGCCGTAGGAGAGCTACATACAGCTCCCAGTGCAAGGCAGGAGGGTCTCCATCCCTGGAGAGCAGATTCCAAGTGCCCTTTGGGGCAGTCTTCTGCTTCTGTCTGCCAGTGAGGCAGAGCCTGGACCACCGAAGAGCCCAGCAAGGTTCACCTGGGGCCCTCTCAGCACTGTCAGCTTCAAATACCTGGAATCCTCATCCCAGAGTCACCCGCTCCCGGCAGCCCAGCCCCACCGCACCCAGCCCTGACCGCACCAGGGCAGCGTGGGTGTGGAGCTGGCCCTCTCCTCCGGCTCCGTCCTGCTGCCCAGCATATTGCATGACTAATCCTGCTCCTGAGCTCAGCAGCAGGTCAGTCCTGTGAGCTACACCCAGCCTTGGGTCACCTCTTTTGCTCGGGACAAACCAAGGGAACCCGAACAACCCGCAGGCTCACCCACAGACCCCGACGTGGC